TCATTAGGTGCTTGAATCATCTTTCAGATTTGCTTAGCGAAAGGACTTTGATTGATCATATGAATACCTCCCAGTGTTTGGATAAGGAGGAAATCTTTGTTTACTAGATGCATCATTTTCTTTCCATCTTGAATTCCAAAAAAAAAAAAAAAATCTGAAAGTAAAAATGCAGGTATTTAAACTGAATCAAATATGAGTACTTTGGTTGGCATATACATGGGTAATAACCAGGCTACGTACCTCTTGCCGCTCTATGAAGCCTGTGCTGTCCAAATCGTAAAGCCTAAATGAAACTGAAAGGAAGTCCCAAACATAATCCATTAGTACAGCTAGATCACATAAGGGTAGCAAGGATAGGCTATCATCTAGATTTGAGAATTCAATCTTCAACTTACAATCTATCTTGTCTTCTTGTGGTGCATTTGGATGGAACACATTGAGTGATCTAACAAAATCACCGAAATCAATGACTCCCTTCTTTTTAACATCAAACAGATCAAAGATCTGCAAGCAGAAAGAATCTAATATTAATACAAATCCAGTTCACAGAAGAGTCCGCTAGATGCATATATTGCAAGCAGTAGAGCATAAAATGCCAATGATTTGCAAACTTTCAAAGCAAACGGGCAGCAATTTGAGTCTGAAAAAGTTATTCTCCTCTTGCAAACAGTTACTAAAGTTATCTTGGATATCTGAAATTAACTAATAATAGGAGCCAACCAGCTACTTAACAACAATTAGATGGAGGCTTGCACAGAAGAATTAATATATTGAGAGTTTCTTCCAGAAGCACATAGTACAATGGCAAATTTCTTGATATTGTGAATTACTGATGCAAAGAAGCATTTGTTTGCATCTGTAGGAGCTCACAGTCACATATGGTGGCATTTTTTAAGAAAGCAAAAAGATGCTTTCTGTACCCGATTTGCAAAGAGATTCTCCCTCTTCCTATTTTTGAAAATTGCCAGCTGAAATTCTTCCTGCAAAGAAGGATACACTAATGATCACAATATGAAGAAAGAATCCAATGCATACACATATTATTACAAAATATATACTGCAACTGGATAAGCAATGATTCCTAACAAAGTCTATACAATGCCGAAGCAAAATATAAGTTAAAAGAACTAGCAAAGCAATGACTAATTGTAAGTGGGGTGAAAGAATTTTCCATACTGCACCTTGCTTATTAGTCCATCGTCAACAACAGAACCACTTATGCTCTTAAATAGCTCAAACAGTGCTTCAACCTCGCTAACAGTGACTGGCAAAACCAAAAGATGAACACAACTTTAACTACAAAAAACGTGGGTGCCTGAAAATAGGAAAGAGATAGAGGAATTGCATGACAAAAGCATCAAATAAATTATGATAAAGCCATGATGGACAGTTGTTTTTCTGTGTCTATAAATATTAACAGGCAGTATAACTGAAATGCAGTAACAACATCCAGTCCCAAATTGATACGCTGACCAGCACATTACATCCAATTATTTTTCTACATTTTTATGCTTCAGCCTACACCTTAGAATCAAGATGAATTACAATATTACCTTGTAAATATATACACACAAAAAAAAACTATGACAATACTGATGAAGCACAGGCAACTACTACCCATGAAGCAGCTCGCATTAGGATGATCAAGAATTGAAGGGCCAAAGGAGACTTGCTTCTTTCTGATATAAGCAGAACCACAAGTTGTTTGTCAAATGGAATCCAAACATAGCATACAAAGCTACAGGCCCCTACATAATATCCCCTTTCTCAGTTTCATGTTCTTTTTCTTACTTAAATTTAATCAAAGATTGAGCTCACTTGATAGAGTCTATGCACTTTAGACAACCTCCCTTAATGGGATAAGATTTTGTTGATGATGAATCATCGATAATCATTGAGTGTCTACGATTCATTTGGCAGGGGAAATGTGAATTGACAAAAAACCAGTAGGGAAGCATGTGCAGTTAAGCAATTACAACTCTACAGCGAAGTTGCATAATATCAAGATTTTCTCATGGTGCAAGAATTTTAGTTTTGCATTGTCAAAAAACTGATAGCAAGAATTATAGTTCGCACAATATATATACACACACATATATTATCTACTTACAAGCTGTCTGTGATGCGAGAGTCACAGGATCCTCATGCCCAGGAAATTGTCTTCTTACTTTAGAGCTGAAACAACCCATTTATCCTATGGACGGAGTGCAGGAAGCAAGGTACTAGACCAGCGCCCAGGCTTCACTACAATATATCATCAAAATCATCTTAACCTTGCAACTTCAAACCCAAATTCAAAAATCACGAAGTGAAATAATTAGTAAACAAATCAATCCCAAATGTTAGCATAACCAAAAATGACCTGAAATAAAACGGAAAAAATATACTCGGACAGCTCCACCAATGAATGACAGACAAACAGTTCAGAAAAGATAAGGTGACCACAAATAACCATTCATTAATTAGAGAGTTTAGAACAAGATGGGGCATGAAGACAGGGGGATTACGAAATTAAAATCAATTTTGCACTAAACCGAACATTAAACTACGGAAAATATTTAAAAGAAAAAAGAAAGAAAGAGGAAGAGAAGAGAAGGAAAAACTTCAACATCGATACAAAAAGAAAACAAAGAAGTAATTAAAACAAAATATTCCTATAAAACAAAGAGCCAAACAGTTCCCTGGATCCTGCGAAAATAATCAGATACAAAAATTTAGTCATGTATATACCTAACTTCCAAAGGAAATCAAAGAAGCAATCATCGAGAAGATCCAGTAAGAATACAAGGTTTAACGATGAATAAAAGAGCATATAACTTTCCCGAAGGCGAGAATCAACACAATGTCTCAATCAAAGCGAACTCTACAAAAGTTGCAGGGGAAGAAATCACCATACAATTGGAAAGAGGGGAATTCTTAGGAAAGAGAAGCTGGTCTTCACCTGAAGAGAAGCGAATCCGATAAAAAGGCGCCGGCGGCCGGTGGACAGGCAGGAGAGAGAGAGAAGGTAACGAACGCTAACTTCTTCGAAAGGAAGAAAGAAATGGTTCGAAAGGAAGAAAGAAATGGCTGGCGAGGTGTGATGGAGGGTGAGGTAGGGATCGTGGGATTCCTGAGCGATTTACGCTCTCCTTGTCTAAAAGAGTCCAAAATCCAACTTGTAAATACCCGAACGCCTTGTTGGGGACGACGATCACTTTTGAGTTTTGTTTAACGTGCCAGCCTCCCACCCGTGACACGCACATACTTCCAGATCCATATTCATTCACACTTGTTGTCATATCAAATTTGTCATAAGAAAAATTCTTCATGATGTATAATTTAATCCTATGAAGTTTATTCATAATAATTACACCCTTCGCTTAAAAATATAATATCCTTTAACATATAATTGTTGTCTTTTTTAAAAAAATAATTCTATTAAATAAATTATTTTATATTTATTTTAAAATAAAATATTTTATTAAATATGAATAAATATAAAAATATAAAATTAATTAAAAAATAAATAATTATTTTATTGAGGAGTGAGATTCAATTAAAAATGTCTTATATTTTTTAATGAAGGGAGTATTATAATTTTGCTCTATTTATAGGACAGATTTATTTTCTCACACACACATATATAAATATTATTCAATAGTTAAAATTAATATACTTAATATATAACAAAAAAATAATATTTTAGAAAGAAAAAGGATAACATATTTGGGTAGAGAATAGAATATATGCATTTTTCTTTACAAAAAACGTTAAAGAAAGTTGGGTTTTAAGAACTTATCAGAATTAAAGTATATTTCTAGACTCAAGTAGTATTTGTAAAAATATTTTAAAGATTACTCACAAACAATATCATCATATCAACAATGAGATTTGAATTCAAAATTTGATGAGTTAGTGATCAAATTCTTATAAAATTGAACCGACATTTATTGATCGTACATTTTTTATTTTCTTTCTATAAAACACTTTTCTATGTATCAAACTTTGCATTTGTTTCCTACCAATCCTTTTAAATCTAGGTTAAGTTTTAAATAGGTTAATACATGAAACTTAAACCAAAAAAAGATAAAGGAGCATTGTGCAGGCTTCATGCTTGGCTCAAGTCTTTGGCCAATCATGACTCATGCTTTTTTGGCTAGAGCCTAGTGTGGCGTGATGTATTTTCGCTCCTATTTGTTTAATTGTGTTGTAACGATTGGGTATAATTCTTTTGATCTGCAACGCCAAAATATATTTAATTATCGTATTATCTATAATTACATTAAAGGGATAATATATAGCATGGAAAAATGTATTATACATTCCGGTTCTAAATTGTAAAATTACTAAATAAATGTAGTGATTTTTTTAAAACATTAGAGTTAGTTTGATTAGATAATGATATATTTGTTTTCAAAATTTATATATTTATTTTATTATTCAAATATTTAATCTATCATATTGTAATATATATATATATATATATATTTGTTATATATGAAAAGTTATATCTGAATTATTATCTTATGTCTCTGTTTTTTTTTTTCGATGAATATTGTTGTCTCATATCTTAATGTAATCCTTTCCTCAACTCTTTTAAAGCTAAAGCCTTTCGGTTTGAAATCGGAATATTCTAATAAAAAAAATAGTTAAAATACTAATAGTGATGATGATGATGTTCCTAAAAAAGCCACAATGATATGCTAAAATTATGCCACTGATGGTAAACTAGTTTCTTTTCCTTTCTTTCAGACCTACATGGGCAGGGCTTTTCTCTGATTTGGACCCAACCTATCTTCAATTTGAGTTGATGAGGAAAAAAAAAAGATACTGAATTTGGAATTGCTTGCTTAAAGAATTATTTTCTTACAAAATATATTAATACATACATCTTTCTTTTTTGTCAACAGGATTAGAACGGGATCATGGGGAGCTGTGGATCCCAAATATATTTTGATACTACTAAAATTTAATATTATTTAAATTTTAATAATTACTTATTCAAAAGTTAAGATATTCTAGTTGGGATAGAAGAACAGCAAGAGAAGGAAGAAGAATATGAGGAAGATGATGATGATGATGATGTTATGGTTGGGATGGTCTTCTAGAAAAATTGTTTCTTTTTGTAAAAGCAAAGCTAACCTGTTTGATTTTTATTCTCATTTTTTATTCTTAAAAGCTGTTTTATTTACAGTTTTTAAAATTATTTTTAAAACAAAATAAAATAAAAATTTATTTGATTATGTCAATTCAAAAACAGTTTTGGAATTAAAAATTGGACTGGTAATGATAGTTATAAAGAGTTAATGGTGATAATTAATAATAAAAATTGGTTAAGACAACTGTAATTTTTAATAATCAAATATAGTGTATTTTAAAAATAAAAAGAATAAAATCAAAATAACTTAAAGTTGTTTCTATTTTTTTGTTTTTAAAACCAAAAAATGAAAATAATTTTGAAAATGACTAAAATAAAAATACTTTTCCAAACAAACTTTTAAATTTTCTGTTTTTAAAAACAAAAAATATTTTTTAAAAACAGAAAACAAACAAGCCCAAATTCTTGATATGGATTATTATTTTTTTATTTTGATATAATTTAATTTCATTGACATTAAGAGTATATGACAGTTGAGCATCATCGTGTTGATATATTTAATTTGTCATAGATTATTAATTAAAATAATTAAATAATAGATTAAGTGAGCAAACAAGAAAGTTTCTTAAATTGAGTACAACTTTAAATCTTATAAAAATGCATTTAAATCATTCAATACTATGAATACATAAAATCTTGTTGAGAAATTTTTCTCTTCAAAATTTTTTGATCAAGAAAATATTTTATTAGAATATGAATTACATCATTATGAGCTTGTTATGCTCATAGATATTAATTTTCAGAATTTGATTACTATGGGCGAATTATGTCAAGTTTTTAGAGGTCATTAGAAAGTGTAATTGTTATCCTTTAATTGACAGATTAATAAGGTTTGTGCTAACTTTTTTGGTGTTAATGACAATCATTGAACAAGCTTCTTCAGCTATAAAAATTATTAAACAAGGCTTCGTGATTAAATAGAAGATAATTTTTTTACTAATTCAATGATAGTTTATATTAAAAATAAAATTATAAAAAAGTTTGCTATAGACATGATAATTGGTGATTTTCATGTTATGAATTGACGAATAGAACTAAAATAAAAATAAAAATACATGTCTCTTTTAGTTATATATTTATAAAATTAATTGTGAATGTCCTAAAATATTTATGTTATTATATATATAACTTTTATTTCAGTTATTGTATATGATTTCTAATCAGAGTCCCCCGAAGTTAAAAATAATCCCTCTGCTCCTGAATAGGATTATTTCATATATCATGACTTTGATTGCATCCATAAACTCCCTCTACGCTTCTAGCCAGTCACCATTAACAATTTTCATATCACGTAACAATATGGTATCTGCGTTGACAAAACATATATTTATTTGTATATTTATTTGTCTTAATTGTTATTTCTTTCTTTCTCTGATTTAACTTATTTTTTAATTAATTTAGAAAATATTATATATTTTTTATCTATTAGTTATAAAACTTAAAGACCCCTTGATCTATATTTACATATACATCTATATAAATATATATATATATATATATATGATCCCACTCCAGATGCTAGTGACTGTTAGAAATAGGCCCACAGCACTATGGTCGGCCAGTGACAAAGATGGTTGAATTATAATACTTCATCCGTAATAAATTATAAGTATTTTTAGATAAAATATCACATATTAATAAATTTTATTAAATATATTTAATAATTTTATTTTTTTTAAATAAAACATAAAACTTTTAAACATACCTATAATTTAATACTACTCCCGTCTCAAATTATAGAACATTTTTAAAGAAGTTTTTTCATTATAAAATATAAGACATTTTGAGTAAATTAAGATTTCATTAAATGCATCAATTTCAATATTACCCTTCCTTTCTCTATAATTAATTTTCATCTTTTCTCTTTTTAATATATTAAATTATGAATATTTTTAAAAGTTTATCTTTTTATTTTGGAAAGATAAAGTTGTTAAGTGTATTTAATGAGATTTATTAGTACGTGAGATTTTATTTAAAAGTGTCTTATAATTTGAGATAGAGAAAATATATTGAAAAGAGAAGGGATGAAAATTAATTATAAAGAGATAAAAGGTAATATTAAAATTAATGTATTTAATAAAACCTTAATTTATTTAAAGTATCTTATATTTTAAATCAAAAAAACTTTTGCAAAAGTGCCAAGGATGGAGGGAGTATATGTTGAGTTAAATTGAACCCATTCAATGTACCAATTAACTTTCTATAAGAAACTATATCTAATAATCACAAAGGAATATGCGGTGAGGGTTCTATAATAGAGCATTGACACAAAAGAAATAATCCAACATCCATGTGCTTGTGTCTCCTGGGGACAAAGGAACAGACAGCGTTATTGCTTATTATTGCTGAACTACCTTCCCAGAGTGATGTAAATATTGTTGCTATTCTCCGTACTATTGCATTGATTGTTTATGCATGTTTTTCTATTGAAGATAATTCAAGTACAATCAAGTATGTTTTTTTCATTTTATCATTGCAAAACAAGCCCACAAAAACGCTCTGAGATAAAATCATTTAGAGTCGAAAAACCATATCGAGACTTTCAAACCAGCCTGTTTAAACCCATTCAAATAGAAGATTAAGCTTGAGGTTTTGATGTGTTAATGCTTAACTAGGATTAAACAGTCCAACTCTAATGAGCTAAAAAAAAAAAGCAGTATATTATTGAAAATTAGTAATAACTAATTAATAAACAAGGAGGGAGAAAATTGTAACCTAAATATTTTTTTTTTATATCTTTACCACTAAAGAGCAACCTCGAAGTACATACAATTAAATATTGTTGATCATGAAGATGGCAATGATTAAGATGATAATTTATTATTGTCTTATTGATATTTATAGAAGACTTGTTTAGCTTACTTAATTTTATTTGGTTTGATTTTATAAGTTTAAACAATAATTTGATACTTTAATTAGTTAATATTTAATTATTTATAATTTAGTTTGTCTTATTTTCATATATTTATTTAAAAAAAAAAAGACTTAAAACACTAAGGGTTGACCTGAGCCCGCAGGCTCCAAGGACCAGACTTCACAAGTATGTGAATTTTAGGTATGCGGACTTTTTAAACTCTAGTTGTCAAGGATACC